GAGTCTTTGTCCAGGAGGATGGGGGGGTGCTTAGAGGAGGCGAACAACAGTTTCCATGGAAACAAGAGCCAGTCACTAGGCACAGGAGCTGAGAACCTATCTCTAGAATCTGGGAACCAGGAGGGAGAGAAAGGGGTGGATTTTCCCATCTGAAGCTGTGGAATTTTCGGCTTCTCCATGGAACCCTCACCTGCTCCCTGCACTGGGTCCTCAGTCTCAGCATCTCCCAAATGCATGGGGTCCTCAGTCTGGACCCCAGGGCTTGGGGCAGGAGTTCTCTGCCCCGTAACCCAGATAAATCCATGGGGAAGCTGGCAACATCCCCAGGGAGGGAAACTGATCTCAGAGCTGACAGGGACAAAAGCACCATGGAGGAAGGAGGAGTGGTGGGCAGGGGTGCTGTCCTGCAGGCCCTTCCCTGCCCTGCCCGCTTGCCCCTGCAGGGGCCAGAGCACCCCGAGCGTGCCTGGTAGCATGGCACCAAAGTCTGCTGGGATCTGGGACTTGCAACCAGGGCCCAGCGGGACTGTGCTTATGAAGCCTAGTAGGGGCAGGGAAGGGACTGAGAGCTTCCAGGAGCATGCTGGGGAGCACCGTGGAGTTGTGGGAACGGCAGAGTGGGTCAGAGCCCCCAGGAAGGGCTGGAGCTCAGACCTCAGAGAGATGGACACACGAGAGGGATTGGGGGGAACTGGGAGAGTCTAGGAGCATGATGGGGGTCACGGGAGGCCATGGGAGATAGCACTGGCAGCTGGTGGGGGCAGGGGTCTCAGTTCCCTCCCCTCCACAGGTGCTTGGTACTCACCCTGCATTTCCTGTTGCCCAGGTGAGCACTGTGAGGTGAGTACCCGCTCAGGCCGTTGCACCCCCAGTGTCTGCAAGAACGGGGGCACCTGTGTCAACCTGCTGGTGGGCGGCTTCAAATGCGACTGCCCGTCCGGAGACTTCGAGAAGCCCTACTGCCAGGTGACCACGCGCAGCTTCCCCGCCCGCTCCTTCCTCACCTTCCGTGGCCTGCGCCAGCGCTTCCACTTCACCCTGGCCCTCTCGTGAGTGGCAGGGCCCGGGGGGAGGGGGCCGGTAGGGGTCAGGGTCCCTCTTGCTGTGCGGATGGAGCAAGTGGTCAGGCAGTAGGAGCGCGGAGCAACCTCTGACAGAGCCCGCTCCGCCCTTCGGGCTGCCTGGGCATCCTGCCTCAGACCCCCCCACCCCCCAGGGCCTCCCCGGCCTCCTCCCGCCTTCAGGCTGGGGGATTCCGACGCCGGAACCCTGGTCTGGGCCCATCTTCCACACTCAGCCCTGTGGTCTTAGCCAAGGTGTCAGCCCGCTGGAGGGTGCGGGGTGGGGCCGGGTGCTGGTTTAGGTGGCGGGTGCCGGCGCCCAGTGGGTGCCCCATTCCCTGCCCCCCAACTCCTGCTTAGGTTTGCCACCAAGGAGCGTGACGGGCTGCTGCTGTACAATGGGCGCTTCAATGAGAAGCACGACTTTGTGGCCCTCGAGGTGATCCAGGAACAGGTCCAGCTCACCTTCTCTGCAGGTGATCCCAGCACCCCGCCCGCCCGTCCTCAGCCCCAACCCAAGCTGTATCCTCTCCCAGCCAGCCCTGGGCCCAGCCCCAACCTTGAGTGTCCCCCTCATTGCCATTCCCAGCCCTCCAGTGTCCTAGCTCACCTTTTCCTTTCCCCCAGGGGAGTCGACTACCACCGTGTCCCCATTCGTGCCCGGAGGGGTCAGTGATGGCCAGTGGCACACAGTGCAGCTGAAGTACTACAATAAGGTGAGTCTGGGCCGGGCTCGGTGGCTCAGCCTGTAATCCCGTGCTTTGGGAGGCTGAGGTGAATGGATTGCCTGAACCCGCGGGTTCGAGACCCGCCTGGGCAACTTGGCGAGACCTCATCTCTACAATAAATCAAAAAATTAGCTGGGTGTGGTAGCGCGTGCCTGTACCAGCTACTTGGAAGGCTGAGGCGGAAGGATCGCCGGAGCCCAGCAGGTCGAGGCTGCGGTGGCCGGGAGTGACCATTGCACTCTAGCCTGGGCAACAGAGTGAGACTCCAACTCAAAAAAAAAAAAAAAAAAAAAAAGGTGGGTCTGGGCGGGACGGGAGGGTTGGAAGGTTCTGTTGTTGGCTCAGGGGCTTACCCAGACCTGAGTGATGCTGCCGCTGAGTGCGGGGCCTGTCATGGCACATCTAGCTGCCAGAGAGGGAGTAGGTGGGCATGTGCCACCTTGCTGGGCATTCCCACCTCGCTGGGTGGGGCTTGATGCTTCCTATCTCATGAGGTAGGCCCAGGTGTGGACGAACACTGAGGAAGGTGGCTAGGTGCATAAACCTCATGAGTGCATGTGTGCATGTGTGTAACACGTGTGTGCTTGTGGACAGGTGTACACACATGGCAGGGTGCGCTGGCCCATGAGTCAGGTGGGCCCCCGTCCACTGTTCCCCTTCCCCGCTCTTACCTGTCCACAGCCACTGTTGGGTCAGACAGGGCTTCCGCAGGGCCCCTCTGAGCAGAAGGTGGCTGTGGTGACCGTAGATGGCTGTGACACCGGGGTGGCCCTGCGCTTTGGAGCGGTGCTGGGCAACTATTCCTGTGCTGCCCAGGGCACCCAGGGTGGCAGCAAGAAGTGAGTAGGGAAAGACCGGGGGTTGGTGAGGCCAGGGCAGGGCGGGCAGGGAGGGAGGGCAGGGGGTGGGGACCAAGTCAGCTGGGGCCCCTGCCCGGCCTGGGGCCTCAGACTGGGAATCAGAGCGAGGCCTGGGGAGGGGGCAGGGTGACTCCCTGCAGGCCATTGGCCTGTGCCTCAGCCCTCCTTCCTCTGGCCTGGGGGCAGGGCACAGGGACGGAGCTGTACCAGCCCCCCTCACTCCGCACCACTTGCCCCCCAGGTCTCTGGATCTGACGGGACCCCTGCTGCTGGGGGGCGTGCCTGACCTGCCCGAGAGCTTCCCTGTCCGCATGCGCCACTTTGTGGGCTGCATGAGAAACCTGCAGGTGGACAGCCGGCACGTGGACATGGCTGACTTCATTGCCAACAACGGCACCATGCCTGGTAGGAGGGCAAGGCTGGGAGCCCAGTGCTGAGAGGAGGGGCCGTGCCTGGCGTGAGGACACCAGAACAGGGGTCCCGGGGCCTCTACTAGCTGCTACAGATCTCCCCTGTGGCACCTGGCCTAGGGCCGCTGAGCCCTCTTCTCCGCATTCCAGGCTGCCCTGCCAAGAAGAACGTGTGTGACAGCAACACGTGCCACAACGGGGGCACCTGCGTGAACCAGTGGGACTCGTTCAGCTGCGAGTGCCCTCTGGGCTTCGGGGGCAAGAGCTGCGCCCAGGGTAGGAAAAGCAGCCCTCGGAGGCCAGGCCCGGGCGCCACCGACAGCCTGGGAACACTGGCAGGGTCCAGGCAGGCGCTGGGCAGGGCTCAGCCGAACTGGGCTGCGGGTGGAAGAGCGTGTCTGGGCAGAGCCTGAGCGGGCAGCACAGGAGACAAAGGGCCCAGTCTGAGGCAGGCCCGGTGCAGCCTGGGGCGGGTCCAGGGCAGGTAGGGCGGGGCTGCCGGGAGGAGCAGGCTCTGCCCCCGCTGAGTGTCACACCCTGGGGCACCTCGCCAGGCCACCCTTCAGACTCTGCCTTGATCTGCCTCCCCAGAAATGGCCAACCCACAGCACTTCCTGGGCAGCAGCCTGGTGGCCTGGCATGGCCTCTCACTGCCCATCTCCCAGCCTTGGCACCTCAGCCTCATGTTCCGAACGCGCCAGGCCGACGGTGTCCTGCTGCAGGCCGTCACCAGGGGGCGCAGCACCATCACCCTACAGGTGATGGGGGGGCCAGGCCGTGGCCTGGCTGGGGCCGCTGCA